GAGAGAGAGAGAGAGAGAGAGAGAGAGAGAGAGAGTATTACAGGAACAAATAATTGTCGTGGAAAGCATTATCATGAATGAAATGAAAACATCAGACATGTATTATAGTATTTTTATTGAGCTGTGCGGGTCTGGAAATGTGTGGCGTCTTTTATGGACTTCTCTACTAGTAGCGTTTGTGATTGGGAAACTCTTCCTTCGGCTCGATTGTGAGTTGGGTTTTTTTTAGAATTGGTTTTATGGGGGTGGGGGAGGGGTGAGGGTGATGCTATACTGCGGCGATATGTCATTCACTATGATCTGTCAGCATCTATTCGGAGACGTCTCCGGCGGAGATAGACCAATCAAAATTCTTTGTGCTTCTAGACCAAGTAAAAAAGTCTGGGGTTACCTGTTTTAACCCATGATTTGATATTGATATTTTGCAGTTCGGTTTGAAATTTTCTTGAAAGTAATTGATTTGCGACAGTTTTAGTTGCTATAATATGTGTGATCTGCAGCAAATAATACGCAGTTTGATAACCCCCCCCCCCCCTCCCCGCAAAGTAGTGCATCTGTGTGCGGGAGTGCGTCTCCGAATAGTTCCTGGGTGCTCGCCGGAGACGTCTCCGAATATCTTGTGCCCAGGGCACACGATAAACAAACAGGACCTCCCAGTCTCGTGGCGCCCGCCTGCCTGTGTGCCTCGTAATGTTTGCTTTTTCTACACCTCTTTTCAACAGAGGTGATTTCACATCGATGAAGTGTCCCAGCCGGTGTAGATTGTAACCGAATCCTTGATAGTACACATTTCCTCACCACACTCTTTTCTTTTTTTTTTAATTAAAAAAAAACCCCACCCCGCTTATTCTATGGTGTTATAGTATAGGCTCTTTACTTACTAAAAAAGATATGTAACCGATTCCTTGATAGTACACATACTATCCTCACCTGACTCTTAAAAAAAAGACCCACCCCGCTTATTCTATGGCGTTATTATAGTATAGGCTCCTTACTTACTAAAAAAATCATAATATAATATAACAGAATTTTTGATAGTACACACAATATCCTCACCTGACTCTTTAAAAATAAACCCTCCCCGCTTATTCTATAGCATTCTAGTATAGGCTCCTTCCTTACTAAAAAATCATGTAACCGAATCCTTGATAGTACACAAATCCTCACCTCACTCTTTTTTCTTTTTAAACCCACCACGCGGCTTATTCTATGGCCTTATAGATCTTGTATAGACTCCTTTACTTACTCAAAAAAAATTATGACCTCGCGGTTTTTCATTTCCGACCTCAGACTTACCTCATATTTGCCCCATTAGACACGACCGCCCAGCGCAAATCTATAAGTAAACATCAAAAGCCTTTTGAACTTGTATTTTACTGGAGGGCTGGCATCCCCCCCCCTCCCCTAAATCTCTCTCTC